CCCCATGGTAGCAGTTACATGGAATAATTCGTTGTTTCTAAAGATTTAAATGACAAATCTATCCAAAGTTACCATATCCAATTTACCGTATTCCACTGACTATATGTATTTGTGAACATTAACTATGTCTTTGGCCTTGAATGTAAATATTCATGTGCATTTATTGCTAAATATGGTGTAAAAGTCTCCTCATTTTTCTCACATACCAGTGGGTGAGATATCAATACTACAGATTTTAGGAGATGGTTAAGCTAATAAACAAAATAGAAGTATCCAGGTCCAATTTTGCTGGTTTTAAGTGATATCTCGAGTACGTAAGGCTCCATATTGGTAATTGAAAAGAAAAGATGCTCAGCCTGGTAACCAACTCTTTCTTAATCTTGTGATAACATTGCATTATACCGTTCAGCTTGATGCTGTTATATTTGTTGTGAAATACGTGTAAGATGGTATACCTGTGTATTCTTACTAATGGATTAATGGCAGCAAGAAATGATGGCTAGCAGATCCATACAGACAAATATATATCATCAAGAATTTTACACAGGGATTAATTTTAGATTTATTCTCTGGTATGTTGTTTTCAAATCAGGAATACACTGGTATTTTCTTAGGTTCCTACAGTCTAAATTAAACCCACTATAAGTCAGTCCCTTTCACCTCCAAAGACCATGAGGAGGGAATAACAGCAAAGACACCATGTCTGGATATTTAAGAAGCATTAGCTCTGGGTTCCTATGGAAGGGAAAGTTTCATAGGTCACATATTCATTGAATAAACTCTTGGTTGCTCCCATGATTTATGTTTCTGCAATCCCTGCCTATATTATGGCTTTTTCTATCTATCTGTGACATTTTGGATATAAAGGATATACATGCTGAAAACATTATCTTATTCAAAATGATTCTGCCATAACCAATCTGCCAAAAACTACCAACATAGTAAATGTCTTTAAGGCTGAGTTTTGCAAGGCCAAAAATCTGATGTCCATTATATGACATAGTGGACTTGGAGACATCTTTGTGAAAAACCTTTGGAATATTGTTTTAAAGTCACTGAATGTATTGCACACTGATGTTCAGAAAATAGATTATGATCTACATGCCATACAATAGTAAGGATTCTTAAATCTCCAGTAACTTTAATCAAAAATATCAGAGTGAGATTTGCAAGTCCAGAGTTAAATCTGAAGCAGTTTCCCTTTTTTGTCGGCAAGTTGCAATTCGGCACCCATCTGGAGTTTTGCCATCAGCCTCAATAGGCCTGTGGTTTTATTCTTAGTTTGAAGATTGAAATGCCTCTACTATAGACAAGTAACACTTTTGAGACTCTCTAGAAGTGTTCTGACTTAAAATATTCATTGTTATTGACAAGGTTGTAACTCAGTGACAGCGTTACCAGAAAACTTATGTAAGTTTCTGAACTTGCTTTGAATTTATGACTAATAATGATTGCTCAGCCAGTGCTCATAGGATCTGAACTGCTGTTACCCCCAATTTACAATCCAAAGGAGTTGAATTGCCAGAAAAATTGTGATTAATCTGTCTTGTGACTTGAGACACAAACTATGTATGAATACTTATTTTTTTAAATGTACTCATAAAAAATTTAAGTCAACTACGGGACATGACCAAGAGTAGAGATTCTATCAGTGAAGACATCCTTTTACTGTCTCATTTGTTTTCATTTTATCAGTAAATATTTATCATAGTGATTATGAATGATGCCTGCAGTGATAAAACTCAGAAAATCAAGCTTTGGTTATTCAGCTAAAGCGTGATCCAAACCCATTCATTCCAATGTGGCAAAGGTGGTTTAATATCATTATCCAGCTAGATTTTGAATTCTGTACATCTTCAGGCATGAGTATCAGTGCTCACTGTGATGATAATTTCTGACGAGGTTACACTAGAAATTGGGCAGAGATTCTCAAATCAGTTGTGTGTAGAGCTGCAAATTGCCAGCTCCAAAACTAGATATCCAAGAGTCAAACAATTTTAGACAAACTTCAAGTGTAGGAATAATCTCTCACAACAGCCAGTGGCTTCTAATTTCCCTTGAAAAAGAAGTGAAGAAGTGAAGGAATAGCTTTAGGATGATCTTTGGTTTTAGCAGATACTCGAACACTTAGTCATTGATAATTACTCATTCAGGGCTGCTTGGTGCAGCTGGATCCTTCATATCCCTTTACCAAATTGGGGCAAAACCGACACTGAGGTGGCAGTTCTGCACAGTGCACTAAATTCCATTCCTGCCTTTGCATCAGAGAAATTGTACATGATTGGTT